TGTGAAGCTCCACTCAAGTGCACTGTACAAGTGAACCACTCTGGTTCAAGATTTACAGGTCTTCACAAGGCTGTCTGTACGAACCTTGCTACCTCTGGTGCCAACACAAAGCCACATGCGCCACAACTTGGTTTCTCTCTCTCATGTTTTCACCTGAGTAGCTGGCCCGCTCTCCAGGTCCAAAGCCCGGGGTCAAATCTCTGATGTGCTTCACTTGTGCCGACAAGGTCCTCCTTCCACCTAGGATCGGTGAATGATATCAGGCTCATCCAGAAGGAGGAAAACACTGACTTGTGCATTGGCTGGCCCCACAAGACATCCCATAGGCCAAAAAGCACTCAAATGTAAGCTTGACCGGGAATGTGGCTAGTATACGCCGCGCATCCCAAGAAAGGTTGGTCAACACAGAACACTTATTCTTCTTCGTTTTCATTTTGTACGCTGGAACCTTTCTTGTAACAGAATCTTCCACTCACCCAACCAAAAACCGCTACGCGTTTGTTGTCGATATAGGAATATTTAGACGTGAGATATCTGAAATTCCAATCATTTGCCGGAAATGTGGAAGAGGTAAACGTCATAAATCACCTACTTTACAGCATCGATTGTATCGATGGTTTCAAACTGACCAAGCGCTTTGTACACGGGGGCTTTCATATTCCACCCTGAAATTGAAATTAGTTCGTATTAATAAAAAAATGTAATTGACGTGGCACGGTATCCGAGAGGCGCTGCACAGAGTACATTTGAAACCACTCTTCAAGAGGGCATATCGTCGTTGGGGATTTCCCAACAGGGGAGGGTATTTGGCCGCTAGGGGGAGGAGGGGGTCGAATTTTGGTCTGAGAAAATTTTTTTGATAGTTGATTTCTCTTGTCTCACGGACGATATAAAGGGGGGGGTTGAATTTGCTCGTTGTCGGAGAGGAGGGGGGTCGCATTTGCCTTCTGGAGGAAGTTCGCGGGCGTTGGGAAATATTTTCCTGGTTGTTGAAAAAGTGATGGGAAGTTGGAAAAATCTAGGAAAGTGGTAAGCAGGATGGGGAAACGGGGGGGTCGTATTTTCCTCGCGAATTTTTCCCGTTCCACATGTGCTATACCCCCCTCCCCCCCTTTTTGTCAGCTCATCGCATCAGAGGAGCAAACTAAGAAGTCCTTACAAGCCACCTCTTAGGAAAGGGTCGTACGCACTTGACCAAAATCCCAATCAATAATGTGCCCTGCTCTTCAACCCCACATCGCTGATGATAAGCAGTGCAAGAAGAACTGAATTGACAAGTGTAGATCCCAAAACGTATTCCGTCGATTAAATAAGCAGTCAAAACCAGGCTAAATTCAGAGGCAGTTTTCACTGCAGGTGGCCAGGGGGGAGGGTCAAACGCTCTTTCGCACCCCTTCCACCAATGACATTGGCATTAACGCCCGCCCCAGCCATCGTGCCCACAACCTTCAAGTCGGATACGTGGCGCATCTCGACTGATCAACGTCAAGCAGTCACTTCCACTGCAGAAAGAAAATGCCCATTTCAATTCCATACCAGAATTGAATTTCTTTGAGCTTCTGTTGAGGAGATTCAGGCAGGAAGATTCCCACTTTTCCTCACAACAGCCTTTTGAGGCTCAGATGCTGAGAAAATCGCTATGCGGGAACGTTGTATCTGTTCTCACTTGAAGATCAATGTTTAGAGACATATCCCGCGATAGGTGGATGGGCGGAGACTGACAGCCTTTCCACTGGTGCGTCCGTTCCTCTTCAGTGTATGGGAGGTAGAAGCGCACCAATGAGGAAGGCACAACGGCTGTGAG